CTCCTAGGAAATTCATCGGATCTGCTTCAAAATTGGTCTGTACAGTCAAAGTATGTGGTTGATTAAAAGTTGTGCTATTGGTGACTGTACATTAAAGGTTGTGTCTGTGGCGTGCCGTCAAAGTTGGCCATTTTGAATTCTGTGGTCATACAAACTGTAGATGAAAAATGTAGCTTTTTGTGACTGTACATCAAACCGCGTGCCAGTGACGACTTGTCGATTTTTGCCATAAAACAGTACTCATAATTTCAGTGTGCAATATTCAATCTCCAATAAACTTCATATATTCTGTAACAATCTCGCCCTGAACACATCCTCATAACTTCAGCATGCGTGGTCCAATCTCAATGAAACTTCACGTTTGATAAGAGTCCTGCCCTGAACACGTCTACATGACAATATTCAGATATAGTGATAGCGCCACCTACTGCCAAGAGGAAGTAAGCCCTGCGTGGCAATTTTGATCTGATTTACGTGAAATTTTGCGACCGCAGCATGCCCCGAGTTGCGTGCAGTGCGAGGTCCCGCCCAACGCTGCTTGCAGCTTTAATTTATATTAGGTTATTACAGCATTTAAAGAGCACAGACCTACGCAAAGGAGGTGTATTTGTGAAACGCCTTGTAAGAAATGATGGACTCAAATATAAGGTTAACCATCAGAGAAATCAGACGTTGGAAGTACAGGAAACATTAGCCTATATTAATCCATATATCACAGCTTAAATAACATTAGGTTAACTCATTATTTCCTATTATTAATTATGGTAATGATATGGTTAAGTAAATGTTAGCAGTTATCACTATAACCACTGCATATAGAGATGCTAAGTTAGTCAGAAGTTATTATTACTATCACACATAAACTATTTAGGTCCTCTGTTATGACAAATTTATCACCATCATATTTTAAATATTTCCATTTTCTTCTGCTACAGAAGTCTGGAGCCATGGGCTCAATGGCTGAGTTTTCTTCTCTGAAAGGAAAGGTTGCACAACTGACAGAATAAGTGACAATATCTGAGATATTGCTGCTAAATTTTATTAGCTTTTTTTCAAAGTTCAGATTCAAGATAAAGTTATGTTTTCTCTTATGTTTCTTATGATAACTGAGATAATGCTGCTAAATTTATTTATTTTTTTACCTTGGATGTCATTGCTCTAATTTATTTTTTATATTTTGATATTTCATATTTTGTTCAAATGTTTAATATATCTGCTGTTCATATGTTCATTCATTAGTGTGCTATATAATTAAAATCTTGTCCTGGTTTTAAAATAAAGCACAGCAGTGATATTTGAGAGTGTTTCTCCCTTTTCAGGAAAAGTATCGAAATCGAAATCGCAATTCTTGACTTGGTATCGGTATCGAAACAATAATTTTGGTATCGTGACACTATTATCTCATCTATAAAGCGTATTGCACACAATACATACTGTAGATACACACATACTTGTAAATACGTTTCTCTCCCCCTTTCTGCACTCCGAGTTTGTTGTTGCTACTTGTGTCTTGGCTCAGAGTGGTAGTCTCTATTTCTCCTCTCTGTGTCTCTCTTCTCTCTCTCTCTCTGTCTTTCTCTAACCCTCTATGTGCCTGGGCCTGGCTTGTTGACTTTAGCTGGCCCATGTGTTGTACTGCTGCCAGAGGGGATGGTTCTTGGCCCAGCCAAGGCCAATAACAGTTGAGGTAGGAAGGAGGGTAAGAGGCTGTGCTATGTGTGTGTGTGTGTGTGTGTGTGTGTGTGTGTGTGTGTGTGTGTGTGTGTGTGTGTGTGTGTGTACGTACGTGTGGGTAGGTGTGAGAGAGTGAGTGTATGGTTTTGTTTGTGCATGTACTTAAGTATGCCAAATGCTCCAACCAGAGGCATCCACATGTTTACACACACACACACACACACACACACACACACACAGATATGCAGGTACAATAAATGGGGTTAAGACTTTCTCCATTGAGGAATAGTACCTGTCTCATAAAACACATTTGTCAGAGACAGGGATCGTAAAATATGAGTATGAATGGTGTCACTACAGTATATTAAACATCAGTTACTACACAGTGTGTGTGTATGTACCCACACATGTTCATCTGCATATGTGGGTGAGGACTGTTATGTTTATCATGTCATCATTAAATTTACTACACTCCATAAATGTACCATGGTTGGACGGAAAGGCTCTTGTAAACATCCAAATTTGGGTACTCAAAAACCCCAAAAACCTTAAAACTCCCATCCCCCCAAACATATATACATACACACACAGCCCAACTTTGTTGACAGTGATCTCTCCTCTCCAATCATCTCTTTCTGGGCACTAAATAAAGGCATTCCCACATTAACTTGCTCCAAAATAAAGCCTCTCATAAGAAGATGCAGACAGATTTACTCTTCCGTCAGTGCAGTCACTCTTTAGCCCCTCCTTCACTCCCACCAAGTTTAATGGCTCCATAGTTATTTAACAGACAGATGAGAAGTTATAGAGAGAATAGTGGAGCGTGTCATTTAGAGTATCTGCAGGCGCTGATGTGTTCATCAGAGTAAGGGATGAACAGGAAAGGGCTTTATCTCTACAAGTTGGTTTTATGACTGCAGAATGTGGCAGCCATCTGCTTCTAACTTGGTGTAAACATTGATATCAAAGTCAGTTTGATAGCAGCAGCAGATTAGCTTCACCACTGTCATCATGAATATGAGTCAATCTGCAGTTGACCCCTAGAGAAAGGGTGTCCAACACACACCATTAGCATTGTTTATTGCTTAACACATGCACACACAGACACACACAATCGCCCCGAACCAGATGTAACGAAACTGCGGTGGAGTATCATAGTCCTGCCGGGAAGCAGAGGAAGGAAAAAGCTCAATGTCAGGAAATCTGAGTGGGTCTCGGGGTGGTGGGGGTGGGTATTAATGGGGTCTGGAGTGTGTTGGTATTCCTCTCGTGTGTGTGTATGTATGAGAGAGAGGGGGGTGATATCAAAGTTTGGATTAGCTCTCAACTAATAGATTAGCTATCCTTCTAGTTTGTTCACTAATACACATACACCAAAAACAGACTGTCAGTGGCCAAATGGGCCTTTACTACGACTCCAAACTCACATTTTGTGGCACTATTTCTTTAACTCTCTCAGTCAAACGGACAACAGGGTGTCCATGTTGGCAACAAAATGAGAAAAACAGCACAGAAATGTTATTAAGAAAGAGGCAGAGGACCATAAATCAAAAGCATGTCCCTAGTTGGCCCTGTTCAGTGCTGAAAACAAGGCTAATGACTGAAACAGGACACGGCTAATCTTGTTATCTCTTTATCTCTCGTCCAGACTGCGTGTGCGTGTGTGTGTGTGTTACCCGTCTCTCATCTGGCATCGTCCTCTCTTCTGTTTTAGCTCTGGAGTGTATATTATTCTTTGCGTTCTCTCCATGTTGGTATTTCATAATTATACGGAACTGTTTTGCCAAATGCCCACACAGTATTCAGAACACACAGACACACACACTCATACACATGTTATAATGTTGAAAAGTAAAGCCAGCATCTTTTGTGTGCCTCGTAGCGTTCAGCCTGCCTCTGAGAAATTCCTTCATATCTGGTACATTCCTCTGCGATCTGTGTGCTCCCTTTTCCAACACATTCTCATCAGCGTGGGAGCTGAGACACTTTCTGAACTTTTTCAGTGTCTATAAAATGTTTTAAAGTCTTGTTGCCACTTCTAAGAGTGTGTGTGAGCAGGTGCACGTAAGCGTGCTGATTTACGGCACACTGTTGTACATGTTTGTGAACTCCAGAGTGAAGTTTTTGCGCTGAGTATGTGTGTGCGCGCTGAGACTCCGAGTGGATCTCTGCCAGGGCTTAGGGCTTGGCTGAGAGAACGCCTCAAACCAGTTTACTCTGGTTGTGTAGTGGAGAAGTCTGGGGGCGGGACATGGACCTCCTTAAAGCTGCAGACCATGTGTATCTCAGCCTCTGTTTCTCTTTGTGTACGTGTGTGTCTTCTTTTGTGTTCGTACGTCTGTGTGAATGTATGTGTCTGTGTTCATATATTTGACAACATATTGGATTTGCATGTTAAGCACATAGTAGCATATTGTGGGTAGATATTCACCTCACTGTACTGACTTTGGCAGCTCGCTTTTTCCCCCAGCATTTTACATGAGAATCTGAATCCCTTTATGTGTGTGTGCAAGTGTGCACAAGTGTGTGGGTGAGTTCTTGGCCCTGCCTTAAATGTCTCTCCGCGCAATTTGTTTTCAAGGACAGCAAGAACAGAGGTGAAGTTTGCAAAATATAGATTAAGAGAATAAGTCTGCATGTAGCCGGAAAAGATTGTGCTTCATTGCAGGATGACACAAATTACTGTTGTGCTATTTTTGTTTTTAGAATGCCGGATGCCAAAGCGCACTCTTTGGGCTCTGTGTATGTGTTTGTGGACGTGTGCTGCGTGTATGTGTACGCTGCTAGATCAAGTGGGCAGTATAAATAAGGTTTAAACTGAGGGTGGACTGCTCAGCATGGGGTGTACTGAGCAGGGAAGAGAGGAACAACCATCTCTCTCCCTCTCGCTCTGTGCGAGGTTGAACAAGCTGTGCAGAAACACACCACAAAACCCCCTTCACTCTTGAGGCTCTCCATTACATCTGCATGTACACACGCATGCTACATACTCAAACATGCACACACACAGTAAATTGTCCAAGATTTACTGTGCATAAAGTCATGTATCTCTCTGTGCTCTGTGTTGTTGCTACTTGTTGTTTGTAATATCACTGCTGATATTTTTAGGGGCTACAGAGATTTGTAGTATTCTCTGGGGACGAGGCCAGGCTTCTTTTCAGATAATTTTCCATGACTCAAATCAAACAGTGTTCAAAAAAGTTTTTTTTTTTTAAAGAGTTTGGCTTAAGTTGAATATATTGGGTTACAGGTGAGACAAGAGCACCAGTGATAACATACATTTTTTCCCCTGTGTGGTTATGAATCTAAATTTGCATGTTTTGCAGGAAGCCCTCAGGTCATGCTGATAAGGAGGTGATGGCTGCCACCGTCCTGACCTCACTGTCCACATCCCCTTTGGTGCTCTACCCTTCCTCTGAAACCACAGGTAACTTTACTGCCCCACCGTCAGCTGCATTCTACCTTGAACATGCCTGCAGTGGAAACTACTCCATCAAATACAGTCTCATCCACTGTATCAAGGTCACTCACTTCCGAGGGTTGCTCACTCAGTTAGGTGATGTTAGTTTGCCCCCGACACAGACTGATCTGCTGAGTTATTTATTTGTAAATCTGTATTAATATAATGGAAGGCAGTCTTACAGTATCATTAGCATTACCTTATCTTTGTATACATGCATGTTTACCCAAGCCCGGCCCTTACTGCCAACTGTTCAGCCTTGACTCTATCACCACAGCTCATTATGTTGTTTCCAGTATTAGTGTGGTTGCCATCACCATGCCAACCCTGCCAGACGGTCAAAGTCCTATTGGCTTTTTATTTTTGAGCTCTGCATTAAACCAAGGCTGCTGTTTTTGCTCTGAGTAAGACAACATTTAGCAGTTCATACCCCATATCACCCAATTTGACACTACTGTACCAACTGGGCAAAGCAGAAATAAATCTAGAGCAATGTAAGTGTAGAAATTGTCAGCAATCATGGAGGTTGTTTGGTTTGGGGGGGAAGGCATTTTTTTAAAAAGGGTTTTTTTTTTTTTTAAAAAAAATTTTTTATTAAAAAACTCCACACCTCCCCCTGACAGTGTAATGCTAGTGTAAATATTAAAATCAACAAATTATTTTGTTTGATTTTTGTTGCTTGACAATAAAAGTAGTTTTTTGTGACACAATTTTCCTGTATTGTATCTTTTTAGGAGAAGAAATAAGACTCTTACGTGACACGTGGTCCACCCCAAGGCCTTAGTAATTCACTGAAATAGAACAGTAATCCCTCCTTATATACAAATTCATCTATGCTACATATTCATATGTACTGGGATTCAGCTCCTTACATTTCTATAGGCATAAGTTATTGGTTGGTATAAATTAATCCCCAACATACATATTAAGGTTAGTTTAGGTTTTATTTTTTACTATGTTTTGCCACAGTGAAAGTCAGATCAAGCCAGTGCGATTATCTAGTCTTTAGGTTAAGTGTTATTAGATTGGTCAAAAGGCCAAAGTGTATAGAAAGGTTTCTGGGTCGGGAAGAAATAATGTGGTACTTCGTCCAGGAAATTAAAACTGTGTTGGGCTTAATGGAAAGAGTTCTATCTAATATATACTGTATAATATATTAAAGGTATTAGAATTAAATGCATCGAACATGCTGTCATGGTTTAGGGCTTTTGAAAGATTTTACATTTTCATTTCCATTACAGAGTTTGGATTTGGGTCAGGATTGTTCTGCATACTCTCTACACATCTTCTTTTTTTTTTTTTTTATCCATGTCACTAATCTGAAGTTATCTGCCTTCTTTAAATTGCAGTACCAGAGCCAGCCAACAGGGCTTGGAAAGAGGTGCTGTCAGCCAGCTACAGCAGTTCGACCAGCGGCAACTGGAGCTGGGATGCCAGCGACCAATCAGTGCCCTCCACACCGTCCCCACCGCTTTCCAACGATACCAACAAAAACTTCCTGCTCTCGTCCCAGGGTGATTACGTCAGTGAGGATGTCACAGAGAGCACGCACTTCATGTTTGAGGACCCCATACCTCGGAAGCGAAAGGTAAAGGTTCATGTCTGCAAGAAGCAATAAATGTCAGGTCTCATTATGGGGAATTTTTGTATTTTCAATTATTTTATTTCATATATTCACAAACATATTTTTTTTACACGTTTTCTGCACGTAATATCCCGTGGGAAGTTAATTTCCAGTCAATCCAACGCACTATGAATGCACTTTTGACCTTATCCTCTTCCGTTTGAATTTAATTATCGATACTTACTGCATGATCACAAAGCATTTTAATACATATGTCATTTTGCTTAGCGTGTTAAGTATATTTTTAGGCTAGCATCAGCAATATTTTGAATTGAACTGATTACGGAGATGAAAGGTGAAATGTCACAATCAACATTGAATACCTTCCAGTATTAGCTTCAACCTTTGTTAGACATATTTTTAAAATTTTATTGCCTGTTTAGTTTTTGCTTTATATTTGCATTAAAAATCTCAATTTATACAGCAGTCATGCAGATTAAAGTAGTTTTGGCAAAAGCATTGATTATGACTCGTGAACAGCAGGAAGGCTTTTATTGTAAAATATCTGCACGTGCAAGTGTTTATGATCTGATGACCAAGCACAGCAAAGGAGCAGATCAGAAAACATCTGCTTTATGATTCAGATTATATTTACCACACATCTAATAACCCTAACTTTATATAATGAAAATAAAGATGTGCTGACACCCGCAGTTACTAAAGTGTCTTCTTGATTTGGCTAGTTTCTTGACACGGCTGTGGTTTTGTGGTTATCACAGCAGCCCCAGATGCTGTCCTCTTCACTTTTAACTTAAACCAAAAATGATCTCACCTTGAGTAATACTGATGTGCTTTTGTTATTTCTATAAAGAAAAAGAAAAAAACAGCACCATGCAGTTCTGTCAAAAGGCCTGTTGTTTTCTGCTTTCTGAATTACATTCTCTCTTCACTTCTCTCCATCTATTTTTTTTTTTTAACTATAGAAACATTCCAGAACGTCAAAGTGTTCACTGTCAAGAAACTTTCCATCCCCTTCTTAGTCTTTTCACGGGGAGAGAGGTGGGAAGGTTTGGTAAGAATGAAGGGGAGGGGACGGATGAACAGCAGGAAGTAACAAAGGTTCAAGGGATGTATTAAAATATGGACAGTCTGACTCTGAGGGTGAAGAGGAGGAGAGGAGAAATGAATCTCAATATTTCCTGTAGCCATATGACAGATGTTGACAGAGGAGAGGCTCATATTCTGTACAATATGTGGGAGTTTGTAATTCAACGTCCCTGGAGTGGGGCAGCAGTGGAGGCTATTGAGCTGCCGAATATATAAAACCAGAAAGACTCCAAGGACGATGTTGCCAGAGACCCATGCCATACCATAGATAAGCAGACAGGAAATTAAGTAGGATGATGCTGGGAGGAATATAGACACACAAGCTGTGTAGAAGAGGGCTAAAATATATAACCTGCTGGCTAGCTTTGCGTTGCAATATAGCTGACGCCAACCCCAGAGGTCTAAACCTTCTATGACCAGCTGCCCCTTGGATTGTGTTTGATTTTGTGCAGGCAGCGGGTTAAGAGGATTATTAAACATGGCAATCACGGTCTTACTGTAACAGTTTTAAGATGCAAGAAAAACGCTTAGGGAATTAAGTGATTTGTGATTGTTTGTGGGATTAAAGAGTAGCTTTGCTGTGTCATTTTTTAGGTTTGTTGTTGCATGGAAGAAAACATGCATATAGCCGGCACCACTTGAGCAGTTTAATGGCTTGTTACTGTCGAATAGAATGAAAAGTAGCGACAGTCAATGAGAAATAGTTCAGAGGTGTAGTAGTGTAGCAGAGTATACACAGTCATTGATAAAAATCAGTTCTACTCTCACTTCTCTCGCTCAGTCTTCTTCTCTCTGTCTTTCCTGCTCCCTCCCTCCTGTCTTTTCTTGCCCTTCGTTCTCCAGAGGCTGTTGAAAGGTAATGAGAGTACACACCCACTGTCTTTCATTAGCAGTGATGCAGGCCCCTGCCTGCTCATGGAAAAGCTGCCTGCCCCCGTTATGCGAAAGAGAAAACATTTAAATGAAAAACACCAACTCCATCAATCTCCTCACATCTTGCTTATGAACCAAGGAGAGTTAGCCTGGGTCGGGATGTAAAATCAGATTTGGGGAGGAACAGATATGATAAGCATTTACAAATGCTTCTTTTGACGATCAGAGGTTAAAAAGAGGTCAGTGTGGTTTTCACAGGTGTGCTTGTGTATTTGGGGAAGTAAGTCTATGAGGAAGTGAGAGTACTTGTATCTATATTTAGTTGCATTGAGTGAGTGAGTGGCCTGGAATGTTCTGTTAAGGGCACCAAACTATTTCCGGTAAGATAGGTTTTCACCCCAGCCAACAACGTGCACAGACAGCAAAAAAAGATAAAAATAGTGCATTTATTTTGCTCCTGTCCCTGTCTTTTTCGGTCTCTCTCTTTCTCTTTTACTCTGTAGTCTGAACTTGTCACATATTGGGTTTCTATTTTTATCAACATGATGCTCTAACAGGTCTCTAATGAGGTGTAGTGTTTGGCCCCTTGTAGAGTGGCACTCAATCCCCCACGAAGGCCTTTCTACTGAGGCTGCCAATGAGACTCGCACAGAGGCAATGTGACAATACATGCAGCATAAACTTCTTTTTCCCCATGAAATACTCATCAGTGTTCTGCCAGATAATTTGTTCAGTTTTATCGCTCTGTCTGCCATTGCTGACAGCTTAATTAACAACTCAAGGGCTTTAAATAAATGATTAAATAACTATAAGACAGATTTAATGGCATAAATACACAGGTACCAAAGATCGTATCATCTCATCAGTTACTTCTAGATTTATCCAAATTTTGTGTTTCTGTGAGACACTATGTGTATAGTTTTTATAGTGTCAACTGTCTTATGGCTCATGTCGGTTTTGTGGTGAATGTCTCTTTCAGAACTCCATGAAGGTGATGTTCAAGTGTTTGTGGAAGAACTGTGAAAAGGTCCTCAGCACCTCCTCAGGGATCCAGCGACACATCCGCATCGTCCACCTGGGGTGAGTTGCTAGTCATCACAGGAAAACCAAACACACACAGTACTTGGTTATTGTCTCCTGAGATTCTGCAGCTCCGCTAATAGGGATTTTCTGACCAGCTATTAGCTGTAATGATTACATCTCTTACAGAAGTTGCAGTAAAAGGTTTAAAAGCATGTTACTAATTAAATTTACTATTGATAGCAGAGTATTTTATGTTCACTCCCTTAGCCTTAGCGTTTCCTTGAATAAATAAGTAATCTCACAGGCTGCTTAGTTGTGTATATTATGCACTTAGCCACAGCTTTTGTCTAAGCTGAACCACGACAAAGGTGGTAAAGTAAAGTACTACAGGGTTAGAGTAAAAATAAGCTAACATAAAATAAACATAAAATAAGTAAGTAAGTAGAATAGAAGAAAACAAGTAACTAAAGTAACTAATCATCCTTTTTTTCAAAAACAGTTATGTAAATGTAGACAGTCAGTCTGATGATGTCTGTCTGTTTTTTTAGAACTGCAGGATTTGTTTTCCCCTCTAATGCAGACCGTCACTGTGTAGGTGTCACTTAAGTAATCCTTTCTCTGCAGCTTCGGGTTAGTAGTGTTGAATTTGGTAATTTAAATAAAGTGGTAAGACAAGAATAGTTACACATGTCTGACTTGTCACAGATGGCATGGTGTCCAACTGCCTGCTTTTACATTTAGTTGAGCTTGCCTATTACAGCTTCTTATGCTTATATTGTCCTATAAAGAAGAATTAAACTTTTAACATTTCTCAATCCAAACCCCCAATGCATATACTTTTGTATTAAAATGCTTAAAAGATGGCTGACTATGAGATATTACATTGTATCATATGTTGTCAATTGTATCATACTGTGAGGTTTTTAATAATAGTTTACTTTCACTGCTTTTACCAGATTTGAGCATAATTGTAACTTTAGCAGATAAACTTGAGATAATATAATATTAAAAAAATATACATTTGTCACCCAGTGAAATACAAATTAATTAATAATAATAATAATTAATAATTAATACTGTTAGGAAGATTTTAAAGAGATTGTATGATTTTATTTTTTAATTTAGTTTCTGAGGAAAGAGGCATCCTCAAAAACTGTCCTGTTTGTATGAGGACCTCTGCAGCTCACTGGCTTTTACTGCCCCCTGCTGCTGGGAAGAGTAACTACTTCCTGCACTTCTGACTTTGGATGTAAACTGACAGCTGCGCTTATGTTTATGGATGTCAGTGACACTAAAGTAAAATGGAACAACACAGGAAAAGTCATTGGCATCCTTCATGACCACTACAATTCAATATTTTGAAATGTACCTAAATGTTTTGAGAATCAGCTAATATTCTCTACTTCTCTTTTTTTATGTTTGCAGTTAATGAAACATTTGGTAAAATGGAAGCCTTATTATTTGTTTTTGACAAAGTTCAGTTCTCTAACTAAGGATGATGAATCCTGAACTAAGAATTTTTTTAAAAGCATCTGCAAATAAATATTAAACTAATGTGAAATGGAATAAACATTTGTCCTTCATTTGGTTGTATTTTAGTATACAGAAATATTTTCTGTTTAAATTACAGAGAAATGTCTAATAGCAAATAAAAAAATAATATTGTATCAGATAGCAATTGAAATATATAGTAACAGGCAACAGTTGTTAAGCTTAACTCCATTTGAGTTCACGGACCTGAGCCAACAAATTGGTAACATGGAATGATTTCAAATGCATAGCCTAAAGCATTTTCTGAACTTAAGAACACACCCGGACTGCCATGCATATAAAGATGTGGTCAAAGATTTTCAAGGGAAATATGCCAAAAAGATAGTTTATATTACATTGCATTAATAGTGTATGTGGCCAACAGAATTTAATGCTGTGCATCAATAAAGCTGCTGGTGTAGAGAGGTGTTGCATTATAGCATTAAAGTTTTAATCAGCTGTGTCTTCAAAAGCAGCTTGATCCAAAGTTTCAGAGGTCCAATGCTGTTTATTATCACTTCAAAGCTGATTAAAATGGAAGTTTAATTTTATGATACCCAGAAGAGTTTCTAAGCAGTTGCTGTTCCTCTCCTGCAGCCGAAATAGCGACTCGGACTACAGTGATGGAGAGGAGGACTTTTACTACTCAGAGATCGAGGTCAACGTGGACAGCCTAACAGAGGGCTTGTCCAGCCTCACGCCCACCTCCCCCACCACTGCCGGCCCTCCGCCCGTCTTCCCTCCGCCGCTCACCGATGTCCCTCACTCTGAACATATCAATATGAACAGTTCGCAGAGCCACGCCCCAACACTGCTCAGTCAGTCAGCTCCCTCCACGCTCTGCCACATCCGCACGGACCACGCCTACCAGGTAATTCACACACACCACAAGTGACTTTGGGATCTCTCTCACACACACACACACACGCACGCACGCACGCACGCACGCACACACACACACACACACACACACACACACACACACACACACACTTGATTTAATTTCCGACAAATGCTGACAAATGATGCTACTGCAGTGCCACAGAAAACAAGACAAAACATTGATTTCCAAGCTCCAAGTTTCAGATTTCTATCATATGGAATACGCAGAGTTTTTGAGATCACTGTGGAGAAAAAAAACTCAAAGGTCTGGATGAATTGCTTAGCTCCTACATCAGTGTGGGAGTATATATCAAGGAGAGAAAAGATAAAACTTTGTTGAAAATATTAATATAAGGTCACATAAAGAATGAATTAGTCTGAAAAAGTCTGAATTATTTTTCGTTTATCCATGCCTCCTCCCTCTTCTTCGCCTTGTCCTTGCGCTCCTTCCTTTTTCATTCCCTACAAATTCATGTGCACTCCTCGCTTATATGCCCTTGGAGGTAGAAATATGAAATGGTTTCAGCTGGACAAAACACAGGTATTAATCTTTAAAATATTCAAAATTGAATTCAGTCTTTCGCAGTGGTTCGAGGTAGTATTAAACTTTCAGTTGCCATGACAACACAAAATGCACATAAAAATAGACTTACCGCATGCATATGCAGTGAAACTACAATGACCACTTCTCTTTATTGCACTGTACTCATAGTCCTCTATTCAGTACTGCTAACTTTGTGTTCTCTCTGCTATTCTTCGTGCTGTCTTGGAAACTGTTTTGTGCCATTTTTTTTTTTACAAGTACCTGTTAGTATTGTTTCGGTATAATCATAAAAAACCCACATTTTCTGTTTATGTAAAATACAATTTTTGTTTTTGATGGTGATCAGAGTTGATATAAAAGCACATTTTGGATGTAGAAATGAAGAAATTCCTTCTCTACTCCTTATGTGATTTTTTTTTTCTGTATTCTCCATCTTTCTTTTTCCATCTGCACTTTTCCTGTCCCCTTCTCCTTTCTGTCCTGTCCTCTCCTGGCTATGGTGGGGTGGTTGTCCATGTTCCAGGCCACTGCTCCAGTGAGTATCCCAGTGGGTCCTGAGCTGGCTGGTTTAGGCAGTGGTAATGGAACCGGTCCTGGAATTGGGACTGGGAATGGCATCAGTGTGTCGTGGCAGTCCCCTCCTGTCATTTTCAAAGGCGTCCCGGTGAGTGAGGCTTTGTCTCACGCCTTTTTATCTAAATCTTAAATTCTCTCTTGCTTTTTCCACTTGTCACCATGTTTTTTGTAGCTTTTTGTTGCTCTGGTTTTTCGCTCTCCCTGCCTCTTATTAACATCCTCTTCAGGCTTTCTTTATATAGCACAATTCATCCAAAGATGCTAAACAAAGTGCTTAACATATAATCAAGATAAGAACACATATAACCAAATGTGCATGCAGGTGTAACATAAAAAATATTGCCAACATTATATTGTATGTGTCTCATCAATTAGCGAAAAAATCAACAATACAGGTAAAACGTTTAAAATGCACTCTTTAACATCCTCAGGGTCGCTAGTAGGCCGTTTCAAAGGCCTTGATCATAATGGCTGAAGGCGACATTGCTGTGAATCAGAGTCTTAGATCACGGGACAGCCAGGAGACAGTCAGAGGACCTGACGGATCTAGGGGGCAAATATTGTATCTTAAAAGCACATCAGACGTCCTCATGCACAGAACTGTTTAAAGATTTACAAACCAATAAAAGGATCTTAAAATCAATAATACAAATGGCAGGCAACCACTGCAGCCGGGGACACAAAAAAGTGTATTGTAATGTGAGCTTCTCGCTTGTAGATTAAACATGTACAGATATATTTTATATGAAGTAATTTTGAAGTTTTGCTTTTTTTGGGCGGACTAGAAAAGATGCCATCAACACAGTGCAGCCAGCCAGTGATGAAGGTGCAGATTGATCTCTCAACATTGACCTTAGCAGTGTGAGCTGCAGCTCTCCTGTAATATTCTTTAGGTTATAAAAACAGGACCCACAGCAGATTCTTTACCTGGATTCTGTTTTGTCATTGTTTTGTGTGTTGTGTTACAGAAAACTCATACATCTGCTAACATATGAAACATACATATGCAGAGTATTAGCAGTTTGTGTTATCAGGAGTTACAGCAATGCAAAATATGATGTCATCCATGTAACTGTGATAACCTGTGCCTGTCTCCTGATGACATAGGGCGCTCACAGACTTTGCACTGGTGCTCCACAAGCTGATATTGTATAATAAAGAATTTTCTGACTAAATTAAATTCAACAGTATTGAAAACTTCACTGAGACTGAGAAGAACAAGAAGAAAACAACACTGAGCCTTAACTCATTCAAAATTGTTACAAAGGCTGCCTCTGTGCTGTTAACCCCCCCCAGGCCCTGTTTTGATCAAGGAAGCGCAATAACAAACGCCCGGCGGTACGTCTTGGACTATGTGGGCATCTCCAAGCGCACCTTCTATTTTTGTTCATGTATGTTCACCAGAGCGACGGCTGGGTGAAGGTGAATATAGATCAGAGAGTGTTGTTATTAACCGACATATATGTCCTGCTGCCTTCAGATAGCTGCAGGGGTTTAATTAACTTCAGGAGAGGCTTTTCATAAAGATTAAAGCAGCTGTGGAAAACAGAAACTGCAAGAATCACTCACTCACTCTATTCTTTTATTGATAAAGGCAGACTGATGAATGCAGACTGATTACAGACGTTCCTGTTATTTTTTTTAATGCAGATATTAACACATCTACTGGTTGTAGAGCGTTTTAATTAAAATGGTTTATCTAGAATTTAGGCATTAAGAGTGATATTACACCAGAAACATTGAGACATCTATTCTTACCGCAAAGTCTAAGATTTCCTTTATTTTGTGCTGCCTAATTTGAACGAACCTCCCTTTGTTTGCTTCTCATTCTACCGTTGCACCGTGCACTCACCGCTAGGCACCAAAATACCACACAGATGGGCAAAGTACATTCCAAGGTCAGGAAAATACCAAACAGTTTGCGCTGCGAAACTTGGGCCCCTTTATGTTAATGTCCGTTACAGCCATAATGACTGTAATGAGTAAAATATGAGAAATTCACTGTTCATCATATGAAAGGTGTGTGAATGTCTGAGACAATTCATAATAGTAGTAGGAAAAGCATCTTTAATTACTGAGCCAAGATTTTCAGTTTTGGTATACATGCTCAGTTAAGCCTGTATAATATCACTTTTTGTACTATTCTGACAGGGACATAAGGAAGGTTGTGTCTCTCTGTATATCTGTCTTTGTCATGTAGAATATAGTGGCGCTACACTGCGTCAGTATAATATTGAACAATGCACTTATGATGTCTTTCCTCTTATGCAGGGGCCTGTGACTCATGTCCGGACAGTTAGCATCGGTGAAAAGCGGCAGCCGGCAGCCGGCACACACGCAACTGTTAACAAGAACCATGCTTTAATAATGCCGGCACCTAAATCAACACCAGGAACCAGGTACGCCAGCAGTGTGCATGTGTGACTGTAGTTAGGAATGTTAAATTATTCTGCTAGTTTTTGCTCCAATTATCTACAACGATTCACAATTATAGTACTGTGTTTAAGTTGAAAAACGTTTATGTTCCCCTATCGTTCTCTTTCTCTCTTTATTCTTCTATCTTCCTTTGTCCTCCGCATCACAGTCACTTGAAATGAGCTGCTTTCCCTTTGTGATTGTGGTGGTAGTTTGAGTGCAGATGCAAATTAGAAACATTTACTGCAATGATTTGTAAGTGGTCTAGGGCAGAAACAATTGCGTAATTGAACATTTATTAGTTCTAGCTTCTCAAATGTGAAGATATGCTACTTTTCTTTGTTTTATTTGATAGTAAACAGAATACCTTTTGCATTTTGGACCAAATAATTCATTTCTAAATGTCACTTTGGGCTCTGGAAAATTGTAAGGGGCATTTCTCAATACTGACATTCTCTAATCGATGATGAAAATAATAATTAATGGCAGCCCTAAAGTGGTCATGTATTCAAACTAATTAGAGGCTATCAAATTCAGTGATTGTAGTTCTGTGCAGGTTTTATTTTCTCTTTATGAGTTTGTCACATTTAACAAATGTGGAGTGGCATTTTTACAGCAAAAAATTAATTTAACTTAACAGCAGTAAATCCCACACAGATGCAGGTTGAATGCAGTCTAAGTATAAATGCTCCCAATCCTAATAATTGGGTGATAATCAAATATTATTACACTTCTAGCAGTGTATTAGAGTTAATAGTTTATTGTTGATGTAATGTTAAATAAAGACATGGAGATAAATATTTATGTAATCATGCTCATGTTGAAATTTGATTAATAGCATGCACTGCCAAAACCCTGAGTTGCTCTTTATGGGGCTGAATCATATCACATCAAATATCAGATCACATAAAAAAAGAAGAATTGCAACAATGACTTTCCTGTATCAAATTACATGTATATATTGATTTTTTCAAAGGAAAGATGTATATCTATATGTGTATGTGCATCTGACCCTGCCCCTACATGTGCATGTACACATTAATGTGCCTTCAAGCGCACTGCACATATATGTGTGTTTTTATGCCCGTGTGGGCGTCTGAGTGTCTGTGTGCATGTCCTTATGCTGTCACATCTGCTGTTACCAAGGAAACCCCGTGGGGAGGCGAAGAAGTGCCGAAAGGTGTACGGCATGGAGAAGAGAGACATGTGGTGCACAGCCTGTCGCTGGAAAAAAGCCTGTCAGAGATTCACCGACTAATCCAGTCCCCTTCCTGTGTCAATGAGATGAGCTCCTCCTCACTCGGAGCGACAGCTAGGTGGACTCTTCCACCGAGGAGACGGGGGAGAACTCGTCACGATGGAGCTCTCAGTGCTGCTTCCTCAAGCCCAGCAAGGGGTTCACCTTCTCTCTTTTCCGTTTCCAAATACAAAGAGAAAATAAAACTTGTGGGTAAAAACAAACAAAATATAAAAAAAATCAGCAAGAAAAAAGAACTTTATGCAGATTTGGAGACTTTTTCTTAGACTGAAGCATTTTCACTCTGTTTGATGAATGAGGAAAAAAGAAACTAAATTGTATTCTGAACCTTCTGATTTGATCTTTTGTTTTTTACGGCCTCAACTCAAGGCAATGTTTAAAGACTACAGATAAGCTTTTTGGTATACTCTGTTGTTCATTATCATCACGTAAGCTACTGTTTATGGGGTGGATCATGACTCCTTTTGGAAGTTCAAGGGTTAACAGCAGATTTGCTCAGCAAGACCTCTGTAGCATATCAGCATATATTTTTTCATTGTCACTTTTTAAGGGACTTCAAACCTACCAAAGGCAAAAAGCCTGTTCGCTTAATCCCGAATCTAGCATTACTGTCTTCTGCAGCCTTACTGGATATTGACTGTTGTTTAAGTACCTGTTCATTAAGCAAATTTAGCACAGCCAGCTATTCTTCTTGTAATTTTGCATAGATGCACAAAACCCTCACACCAAGTGGTACAAAAAGTTTCCCCTTGACTGTCCAAAATATTTTTGAGAGATGTAATAATTCATCCCTTTGGGGAAATTCGTTTTTTGTTAATTTGTTTACACACACACACACACACACACACACACACACACACACACACACACACACACACACACACACACAGAGAAACCGACACACATGCATCAATGTGGAGAAATGTCAATGTCGGTGCTTTTTTTTAAGGGCACCTTGGCAGTACCCAGGAGGTGAACTGCCACATCTCTAGCCACCAATCCAGGCTCCATATTGCCTGGGTGCTGGATTTTAACTATGGCCATCCTCCGGTTTCCAAACAAAGTCCCTACAGACTTACCTACTGATATCCTACAGACATACACAATATATGAAATATCTTGCCCTTTCTTCTTCTCTATATTTGTACCCTAGCGATATGCACCTTGAAGAAATAAGTCTTTTAGAGTATCTGAGAGAGTGGATATCTATTTCTTATCTAGAGTTTATTTTCAGCAATGACTTGCTGAAGCAACTAGCAGTTGCACTGTGCAATCAGCGGAATCTTTTGCTTTGTGGTCGTAATTGTTATTAAGGTGAGTTGAGGGGAAAAAAAGCCTCCGTTCTTCCTCTGACAGCTGATTTGCTTAAAGAGATTGTTATCCACAATGAATTATACATGAATGATAACTGCCCTTTGAAACTTTAACTTACAGTCTGATGTAATTTGTATATGTAGGAGAATAACAATCACTACCTGATAACAAGTCAGGCATTTTATCCATTTCTTACAGAGGTTACCCAATTTAGTATTTGGAATAACTATCATTAACCAGCATTGTGACATTTGTAGATACCAGGAACCAAGCACTTTTTTTCTACGTTTTTAGTAGATGTTGTGTTTAATCCTTTGAAATGATCTTTTTCTCTGTTCTAACATTTGACAATGAAAAGTGCGAATCAAATCAAGTCAGTGCAGAGCGGCAGTCTACCGTTTGTTGCCGGCTGTGTGAGCAAAATGTTTCACCAAAGTAGAGTTTTACTTTTTAGAATAGGTCTGTTTATGAAGGCCTACTTTTTCCAAGCTTTAGATAGGTGATAGAAATTGTGATGTTTGATATATCTCTTTCATCTATATTTAAAAAATAATAATAATTCAGCAATATTGGTCAGTCTAACAATAATAATTATGACTAATAATTTTAAAGCCCATTTTGGTTTGTATTTCTATTAATTAATTAACTTTTTTTTTTCTTTTAAAAACGTTTGAAGAGATACAGACAAATATAGTCAAATACTTGTAGTAATTCCTGCTTTAAGAGATCCCAGATTCGCTGATAACTTGCTTTCCATAAACCATAGTTGAGTTCATTTATTTATTTGCACAGCACAACTTCATAAATTTCCCTCAAAGGGCTTCACAATCTGTACATGTGAACACCCTCTACCCTTAGACCCTCGATTCAGCTAGTGAAAAACTCCACACACAATAAAAAAAAACCCTTGAACAGGTATTTTTCTAATCTGCTCTCAGAGGCCGAGTCATGACAGTAGATGTATATTTTTGAAAAGATTCACTCTTGTGCTGTCTGTTAGCAGCTTTTTGAATGTAGATTCTGCTGTGTGTCCTCTGCTTTCTAAGCGCTCCTGACACTGACTTGACCTGATCACCATAGCAACGTATGACAAACACACACACACACACACACACACACACACAGTGCCTTTCCTCTCCTGTATGAGCAGGCTGTCGAGCAGACTCCTTGACTGAGGTACAGTACGACTTCAGACCTCTGTCGCCATAGAAACACCTGTGCAGTCCCCCCGTCGCCACAGGGTCACTCGTTCTGTCTGCTGTCTACTAATATACCACGTTAAGGGCGACCAGTTGTGGCTTCAAGCAGATCATTGACTGTTAATTGGTGGCTTGAAGTGAAATATATTAAGCACACATTTTAGCTGTAATAGTAGTTAATAATCTCTCATTCAGTTCACGTTAAAAAACACCATTTTGTTTTGAAAATGAGTGATCCTGCCTGTAAATCGTATATTAAAGTGGCATCCCAGATAAGCTAGGTCTCCCTCCTCTCAGCTTGTGAGAGAGGTTTGCAGGCCTCTTCCGGTCAGAAACTTCACAAAGTGCCAATTAAAAGAACATAAAAAAGGAAAAGGTATACTGACCTAATTAAATTGCACTACGCTGCACTGCGCAAAGACATGTTTTTATACATGGACATTTTATATACACAAATTTTGAAGTGAAAGGATTTTCTTTTTTTCGTGGGCGTGGGAGGGTTGTCGTCACTGCCCGATGGAATTAATGGGGTGTCAGGGATAGGGGTTCTGTACCTCTGGGTTCCCCATTCTTAGCAAGTAATCTTGACAGTTAATGTCTTGCTCTTTGTGTCAGATTTATTGTACTAAACATAGTGGTGCTGGCCGTTTTAGAAGTGTGGTACTGGGAAGTACAGTGTGGTACTTAGGTAGTCACTTTGCCTTTCCTTGGAGGAGTGCCAAGGGCCGAAAGCAGCACCTACCTTGTCTCGGTGATGGGAAAACATCGGTCTCAGTCAGTGGCTACACATTATCGTCTTGATAACAGATGCTTTTACAGTGTTTTATTCCCTGGAGTTGTTTTTTTTTCACAATACTCACAGACTTTTTATCCGTAAAGCTCATCTTTGTGCTTCCTTTACTCAAATAAAAACAGGTTCCTGCTTATATACATTTTACTGAGCTAAGGTAGTAACTGTGTAGATACTGTTATTAGTGCTGGATACCACTTTTAATCCTGTAATCTCTGGTTCGGTCCTTTGATGGAGTGTCAAATGCAACCCATCAGGTCTCTCTCCATCCTCAGTGTAAGCACTTTTAGGTTCCACCAGCAGGGTTAGAGGCTGATGCTTTTGCTGGTAGTGAATGGGAATGTTAGCGTGTGTTAAGCTAACAGGTTAACTGCGATTGCTGGCCACTATTCCATCTTTTTTTTTTTTTTAGTTGCACTATACTGGCCCTGTGATGATCAAGGCCCATGTCGTATCATTAAAGTGTGAGTGCGGCCATTATTCGGGTCATTCTGGCCAGACAGAACTGTGGGTACAAAGTTGCTCTTGTGCACAGATCTTGGACAAGAGGACTTTATTGGTAAATGTTTGAAAAAGTAGATCAATAATTACAACTGTCACTTAGACAATGACAGATGGAGATTGAAGTTGACCGTTAATGGGCGTGCAGGGAATTTTTTTAGGGAGATTTACAGTCGATGGAAAACAGACACAAAACAAGCAGTGACGATATAGATGGATTTGCATTTTCAGGGCTTTCTTGTACATATGCAACATAAAGAGAACCGTGACGCTTTTTTCATATATTGTTGTTGTTGTTTTCTTTGTTTATTGTATCTTGTTATATGAAAAGTAAACTTTTTTTTTTACAGTATAGTTGCTAAGAATGTTTTCTTTCTTAAAAAAAAAAAAAAGTCAATTGAGAAGCTATAGTGAACATAACACGTAAAGATTCAATGTATATTGTAGCTTAGAGGCAAAGGGGAGAAAAACAAATGAATGTAAAACCTACAAAAATATGTTTTTCTTTTTTTTTCAATGTGTGTTATATTTGCTGGCTAGTTTGTACTGCCTGTAGTGAACCTTTAGAGCGTCCTGATTTTGGTATTCAAACCTTTTAACACCCACATACAGCTGTCGCCACACTGCTAAGTCATATCAAATAACACAACCATGCAGTATTGCTTTACTATCTTACGTTGTGCAATGAGACGCTTTATAATGGAACAAGAACTAACTTGAGCTCTTAGTGACATCTGGGCTACTCGCTCACACTGTTGCTGTTCGTCTTTTGTCTTTCTCCCTGCCAAAATAGTCAATTTTCTGAATATGTGTGGATATTGTTGTCGTGGATGATGTTTGTGGTTGTGATGTTAAGTTGTTGTAAGGCAGGATAACCTTCGACCTTTGGTCACAATGAAAATTTTAACCTTGTGGGAATTTTTATCCTGACCTGCACATTCCAACGCTTTTAGTGTCTTCCACTTGTTCCCTAATAGACATATCCTTCCCATTTCCTTTTCACTACAGTGATTCTTCCCTGATCACCTTGTCCTTTTCCATTTCCTGTTCTTGTGCTATCCAGCTTTACTGTGGTCCCACCCAAGCCTTTACCCAGTATATTAAGCTAAACTAAACCCTTGAAATGTGCATCGAAAAAGCCTTCATTTTTTTTTCCACATTTGTCAAAATTTTTGTGCTGCTTTCTTGAATGTCAGTTTTCATATGTGTTTAAACCAGCAGCAGCAAAGCCAATAGATCTCCTTCCAAATCAAGTGTAATGTAATGCATTGCAATGGCAGCTCCACTCAATTCTCTGCTTCTTCTACTGTGCTCTTATTGTTTGTCCAGGCTTTTACCCTCTGTCAGATTTGACCATTTCTTTCTCCTGTTTTGTTTTTACTGAGCCTTACACTGGCTGGTGTGAAAACTGACTTTTGCTTTTTTTTTCTCATTGATTGATTGATTGATTGATTGATTGTCTGGTTGAGTTTGAGGTTGTTTTGCATGTCTAGCATCGCTCATTTTTTCCCCCTATTTTTTGTTAGGAGATACAACACTGAAGGGTTTTGTGTTAGATTTCCCCTTTCAGTAACTGATAACCCAAGGCTGATGTAGTTTGTTTTCCTCTAAATGTAAAACATGCTCATTGCAGCCTGACACACACACACACACACACACACACACACACACACACACACACACACACACAGCTGAAAGAATTTTGAAGGAAACGTGACGTCAGCCTTGGGTCTTCACTGGAGGGCAAGATTTCTTCTGTGCGTGGGCTCGACCTTTGGTCTTCATCAGCAGTCCCACGCACATGGAGGAAGCACTTTCTGAGGAGTGTGTGCACTCAAGGAGTATTTGTGTGAATGTCAAGCCTATGACTAGTGCTTGAAAAGATGGATGACCATGTATGATGCTGATAATGTGATGTATGTGATGTAATGTGATGGAAAGAAAATAAACCTGAATGGAAGAAGTATGCTGTCAGATCATTTATTTATTGTTATTTATGTAGGTGAATAAGAGTCTGTGGATAAGTGTCTGCAGATGTTTATAATGACAAATCTTCCAAGGAAGGAAATTTGGTAATTTAAGATCTATAAACTCATTCCTTCCTGTCTACATTCTTTGACTTGTCTATTCTGCCCCCTTGTGGACAGCTGGCAGTTATGACACTACTATAACACTAGTCCAATCAAACCCTCCAATACGCACAAGAAAACAAAATGCACAGCACACATTGGTCACTTCTTTACAGCAGCAATTTCAAAATTTATTGAGACTGATTGGTTTTTGCAAATAATAGTCAAGCTAATTTTTCCACTAAACATGAAGTTAGAAAGAGGCTTGGAAGGCCGGCCCAACATCAAAACAGGAGGCTCATGGTTGGCTGTAAAAATGTTTTGTGATCAGTACTATCAACCGAAAAATATCTGCACAAGAGCACTTAAATCTGCCCAAAACAAAACAGGTGTAAAAACAGGACAGGTTTTTTTGATTATTTAACACATTTTGTTACAAACACAGGTTTATGATAATCATCAATATAAAGTCAGTATCATATTGAACAATATTCCCAATGAAAATAAACAAACCTCAAGCTTCAAGTGCGACCTTTTACAAATTAAAGACCCTCTGAAACTTGAGAGAGAAAATAAATAATATATAATAGTAATATAAATTCATATATATGAAGGTATACACACATCACTCTTAGTAGAAGAACAAAATCGAAAGTAAAAAGCGCCAATTTTGAAATATAGTATAATATAGATATACCCATATCTATGGCTTCATGATTTGCACGTGTGAATCAAGCTATACAGGCTAAATGAGGATTGCAATTTGTACACGTCTAAGAATACCCATATTCATCTGCAATAGAGCAAACAGTTCCAGTTTTGCATCGTGTGGAATGAGACAGTTGTGTGCAGATGCCGAAGACGTCGCTTTGGTATGACAAAATGAGCACAGGCATGCAGTTAAGACCACAGAATCAGGGCACAAAAGGTCATCAACACACGGTGGGAAGGAGAATCTAGTCGCCCATCATGATTTGTCTCGTTTGAAGTTTTATCCTCAAAAACATTTTGCACCTCTAATCTGATCAGTCGCATTTTTATTAATCTCTATCCATCAACATACAACACATAGTCATCTTTCGGAAACAAACACTCTCACAAGCACACAGGTGAAATGTCATTGAGGCACATATTGAGGGGTTGATGGCAGACGTTTTCCTGAAGTACAACCCAGTATGAGGAAGAAGACATACAGTACAGGTCGTGAGAAGAGCGCAGGGCCGGGGATTCACACATACATCCAGATGTCTCTCAGTGGCCACAACAGCACCACAGGACAGAGATTTGTCACCGATCATGGGCTCCTTCCACACCCACCTTTGACATTCATAAAAAATCTTAACCCCATTGTCTTTCGTCTTTTTTTTTTCACCCCAAAAATTACAACTATTTGATTAATGGGTCAAACAAAAACACAATAAATAATACAAATAAGATAAAGACAGTTGCCAGACATGAAGAAAGCATCACAAATCGCATTGTAATAAGACTTTCTCAGTGGGGGTTAATGGGAAGTGCAGTCCATGGCACCTGTAGCAGAGAGGCCTGATGTGTGCAACCTGCACTGGCAACAAAATGTTTCCCAGAGTTACTGCTGCAGTGCTCACTTTCCCTTTAGGTAAATTAGCTAGAGTCAAGCCAGTAAAACACTGGCAGATAGGAATACAGCATGTAGACCCTTCACTCTGCTGTCTGAGACAAGCATTTTGTCTGCATGCTGCATTTCTTCTTGATTGTGTGTCATGCGAGGCGGAGACACTAGAAATTAGAAAAAAGAAAAAAAAATTCAGCTTGGTTTAAGGATGCCGTCTTCTAAATCTAGCCTGTCCTTTCACACAGCCCTTCATATTCACAATAATACCTTAACATTTGCACTTTTTTCAAACTGTGACAAATAGTGACAGGTTCAAAAATAAAAACAACCCAACAACAAAACTGTTAATCACAACAATAAATCCAAAAGCACCTGCACACACAGACTGTGAAACAAAAGCACTTCATGTATACAAGGTACTAGATTGTTTTTGGTTCGATATTAATCAATTAGTGTACATTAGTGATGCAAATGCGTGTGCTGAATATATGTTTCAATCAATATCTAACAGAGAAGTTTGACAGTGAAGTTGTTTTTCCCCTTGGTAAAAAAGCAAATACGACAGAAAAAGCGTAAACTGGCACAATAAAAGGTTGATAAAAGCCCCATGGCTTGCTGTCCACAACAAGGCAAAGTATAAAAGCTTTTTTTCTTATACAAGATATAAAATATCAAAAAAAGAACACACAATAAAGCTTAGCATCCAGCACTTAATAATAATTAATAATAGTAACATCAACAACAGTAATCATAGTTCTGATAATCATAATAATAAGACATGTCGTCTGCCTCACTTGAATTGTCAATAACATGGAAATAATCTTAAGAAATCAATATAGACTTTTTTTTGGACACTGGACACTCAAACATTCTTGCATACAAACACCCATCCTGTTCTACCCAACACACAGAGAGAGAGAGAGGAGGGAATGACTTCTCAAAAATTAGGAATCCACAAACAGTTTTCAATAAATAGCTGTTAAACAAAACAAATTAATATTACACTCTCTACGAATATCAAACTCGGAATTTCAAGCACAATTTTGATCCTCTTCTTTTAACCTTACAAAGCCGGAGAAACTATATCACCAAAAGAAAGTTAAACCATGGAAAGAGTCTGCATATTCTGTATTGAGAAACTGGAATTACATGACTGACCAGGAAAGAAACAGGAAAAAAAAAGAAAAAAAAAAAGGCAGCTCCTCCTTAGGTGTGAGAGACGTGGCTCTCAGGTCCTATCAACACAAGAGACAGCGAGAGAGACAGAAAGAGTTAATAGTGTAGGTCATGTGGATCCCTTGTGTGCTTGTGTTGATTTTCCAAACAAGGAAACAGAAATTGATGTCCACTTTGTGTATAAAGAGGGTTAAAACTCTTACATACACTGTAAAAGTCTCTTTCAATCTCTCTCCGTCTCTCTCAGTCTCACACACACTTTTAAATTCCAAAAATCGTATGTACATTAGTCACATCTCCAGTATTTGTTGGAATGGATTGATAGAAACCGTGTGGTAAACTTAAGTGAAGAAAAGATTAAGGACCCCACTGAAAGGCAAAGGCTATATAAACAGCAATCTGCACAAAGATTCAGTGATTTCTATATCGTATTAACAGTCAAGAGGACATAAAGTATATCCTTAAAGGTAGGTGCGGTCACCGAGTTGTTTAGGTAAGTAAAGATCAGATCAAAAATGTAAACCACGGGTTCAGGGCTTTGATAGGAGTCAGTTGTCATTAAAGTGCAAGTCTGTGGCAGTAGGACTCTGCATCAACAATGTGCCATCGGGCTGCCCGGTCCTCTGACACACATAGCTTTGCAATAGATTTAGACTCTCCCTTCACTTGTAGAGAGACACTTTCCCACAGAAACATTACAGCCGAGGTGGCTTTCCCTACACTGTCAGTGATCCTTGGTTTCCATGGTGATTGTGATGGCAAACATACAAAGTTGCAGTCTGGCATTGGCCATGTCCTTGGCAGCGTCCTCACTGATTCCTGTTGTGACAGAGTAGAAAACTACTGGACTCTGGCCTGAACCCTCAAGAAAAAGAAACACAAAAACACTGCATCAGAAGTAAAGGAGGTAAGCAGAAAAAGCCTTGCACTCGAGCCATCTCTTGACCACTCTTCTTCTACTATGGCAGTCAAGGTTGAGAATAGCCTAAGTGTGTGTGTGTGTGTGTGTGTGTGTGTGTGTGTGTGTGTGTGTGTGTGTGTGTGTGTGTCTCTGTGTGTATGTGTGTGCACTTGAGTGTGTTTACTCGTAATGGTGTTAGATCATTGTCGCGCGTCACCCTACAGCATTTCCATTCAAAGGAAGGCCTGCCCACAGTGGGACGAATGGGTAAAGAGAGCAGAGGGTTCTGCCCGGAGAGATCGCAAGAGATCTTCAGAGATTGGTTGACGAACCACTGACAGGAGCCTGACAGATTCTAGGAGATCCAGGCAAAGTCCCTCTCACTCCCGTTCTGTTGCTCCCCCTCCTGTGCAGAGGAGTCGCTCTCCTCCTTCTCATTGTCCAGTGCTCCGTGTGCCTCAGCGGTCATCCCTGAGTCTTTCCACTTCCCTCCTTCCTCCTCCCCTTCTCCCATCATCTCCCCGTCCCCTTCGACCATCATCTCTTCCTCCCCCTCTCCATCACCGTCGCACTCCGCCTGGTCGTCGTGGAAACGATCGCCGGGATACAGCTCCTCCTCCGGTGAGATGTCTCCTCCCACCTCCCCGTTGTGGTCCAGCAGTGCAGCCATGCCCCGCCCAGAGCAGTCAGCGCAGACGCCATGACGACGCGAGCCGTGTTTGATTCCAACGCTGGCTGCTGACATGAAGACTCGGCTGCACACTTTACACACATACTTCTTGTCTTTGCTGTGGACCTGAAGGATGGAAACACAATTTCAAAATTTTAGTTTAGACTTTGGTTTAAGGTGCGATTTACTGCCCCCTACTGGTTTTTGTATATCTGCACTCACCAGTGTGTGCCTCTTCATGTGCTCCCTTCTGGTGAACTTCTTGCCACAGATTTCACAGGGGTAGGGCCTCTCACCAGTGTGGGAGCGCATGTGCCTCTTTAGGATGCACTGGTGCATAGCAGAGAAACTGCAGTAGGGGCACTTGAACTTTTTACGGATCACGGTGAAGTCATTCACTGTAGAGACATAAGGAGGGAGGGGTGGTGGAGAGAAGAAAAGAAGGGAAAAAAAGATTAGAGTTGAATGAAGCTCGTTTAAATAAACCGAGACGTCACTTTTCAGTTATTACATTTAATTAGCGGCATGGTCTAGAAATGTACCATCAATTCCCATGGCCACCCCAATCCCAGTCAAAGCTACTGTTGCCCTGGCAACAGCTCTTCCTCCATACTAAAGCAATAAAGGCAAAGAGATACTATAAACACGACACAACAGTCAGTCTGCCTTAGTTGCTCTAGAAGGTCTCCGCTATGGACAGCAAAAACACAGACAGAAAGACAAACACAGACAATGACAAGAAGGTAGGGAAATGAAATCACACACACAAAGGGAGGCTTCAGCAAAAAAAATAAAAATAAAAACAACTAATGTTAATACCATGTCCCAATCTTGTGTATCTTGTACGTCTGGTAAGTCAATTATCTCAAGGTCTAGACTTAAATGGTAGTTAAGCCAGGTGAAGGGCATCCAAGTAAACAGATTGTGTGTGTCTCTGTGTGTGTGTGGTTGTGCGTGTATATGAGAAACTTAACAGTCAAGGCATAGGGTGTATGACCATGAGAGATCAAGACTGGATTTATGACAAGCACAATACACACTACTACTGTACACCTCTACTGTTCATAAAGGGGGGGGGGGGGGTCAAACACACATTGAGGGTTATAAGCTTTAAGTGATATAATATAATTACCTCCATCTGCAAAGTGACTTCGGCTCTGATTAAACACTCCACAGCACAAAAACATGCAAGTACAGATCAACTGCATAACAGCATCTTATTTACATTTGTTAAGAGCGGCAAGTTAAAATGCAAAAAAAGACAAAGAAAGGAATATTGTGATTGTGTGAATGTGTGCATGACACATAGATAAAAGATTAAAAACTACAGAGAAGTTTTCACATTTTCCATCACTGTTTAATTACAGCATAAAAACTACAAGCAGAATGTTATTCTGTTTAGAAAAGTACATGTGTACAGTACATAAGTTTTTGTTTAGTGAGAAAAATTCATAATCTAGAATGAAATATCTTTCAATATTTACAGCAACACATGTTCAAACTCAAAAAACGCCACACAACAGCCGTACAGCATTTGCCATTATTCCTCAGTGGTTGGCTCTGCAGAGTTCCTGATTAGTTCCTGACTTCTCTGAGCCTGCCAGTCGGTTTCAGCTGCTGGCTAGGACAGAGTGTGCTACCTGAGAAATGGGATTTTGTATTAGAAAGGATTTGGCATTTGGGAGTTCCCTGTGTGTATATTCAACAGCAAGGGGATATATTCCCAATAGACACAAGTTCTGCTTTTGCTTAGCACATAGAAATGACTGTTCTATGTGTTGGGACATTAGAGGGAAACACAGGTGGATGTCTTCCCTTTGGGTATGGAATTCACAGTTTGGATGCACACAATAATCATTTACAACTGGGCCTGCATCAAGAAAATATCTTGGTTTATAGTTGCAGGGTTTGGCAGAAACTGGTGTGAATTTACTTCAGCAATGATTTTCAGTGTTCAGTGTTCATGCTGATTTCAATATACTGCGGCTCTGCTCCGGCTCTACAGCACCCTCCACATAACTCTGTCACCATCTCCCTTATTCCCTCCCCTGCATTTTTCTCACTTGTCTTCTTTGATCCCCCATTTTCCAGCTTGTACGCACAACCACACCATTATCTGTCTGTAGCACTGACATCACTAAACTCATCTGGTTTAAAAAGGGCATCTGCCCCTCAGTCCCAACTTCCTCTTCAGATGAAGGGTCAGGGGTTAAGAAGGGCCGGTGCCGTGAAGGAGCAATTACTGTCCAGCTCCAGCCACACTCAGCCACTAGAAGACTTACAGATCTGGGACAGAGGAGATGGACACATAGAGAGAAAATGACACCACCCAACCCCCATCTGAGCTGCGACTGGCCTATTGTTTTAGCTGGCTTTGTCTCGTTCGGCACATCCCCTCCATCTGCACTGATCTGACAGCAATGACTGAAGGTAATCATGTATGACTGAGGACAAGCTTTTACGTGTCCAGTGGAGGTGGACCTGTGATAGAATTACTTCATTTTTCTTTGAGTTAGAGTGTAAAGAAACGCAACCACAATGGTTTTTGTATATAAAGTTGTCTGGAACTTTTTAATATTTGGTGAAGTGCACTACCACTGGCAACAGAAATAATCTGATCTGTCTTAATTCTGCTCTCATGCTGCTATTCTACAAAGTTCCTGCAGGTGGTGTGGTTGCGTGTGCTGTGAGCCACACGGAAGCCTGGCAGATATGAACTGTGTCTGAGTGTCTTTGTGCCCGTAATGCAGGGGTGGACACAAAGATAAAGATCTCTCTGCCTAAAAAGGAGAGAAGAGTTTAGTCAGACTGGTGACTGGCGACAGAGAGCCAGACAAGTAGTTGAGGTCTGAGAGGCGGAAAGACACCCCACTCGTCTCTCCACCCGGCACCGCAACGGAAAGTAATTCACCTGTTCATGGGTCCAATAAGTGCACACTCAAACTATTTACAACCTAAAGATAATTAAAAGATCATTTGTTCTAGATATAGTGTCAGTCAGTTGTTTAAACAGATCAGCTTTGCATAGCAATCGTGCATTGTTGACATGTAAGCTGTCAATTCAAGTTAAATCGCCTTTTAAAAAATTATTTAATCACATAAAATTTAACAAGTTTGTAAAAAAAAAATGGAATAAAGTATCCCTAGGTATTTATAATCATGTCGACAGACGTTTGATTTTAGGAACCAGGAACTCTTCCTTCTAAGTGCAATGACACCCCAGAGCATTTTTGGCATGAACGTACAGCACATGTGAAGATACGCTGCTAATTGATGGGTATGAATGTGTGTACATAAGCCTGCAGCCTCTAGATCCTCCAGTCTCAGTTTTCCACATTAATACTGATATTATGATTGTCAACTTTCATCTCTTGAGAAAGCCGCCACAGTGAATCTATAACCCCAGTCTGAGACATTTCCATCCCAGTGCTGCCTCCCAGTATCGCTCCTGGCACTGACCCCACCTGGCAGCACACTTTAACATGTGTCGCCAGGTTTTTCTGGGTGCTAAAAGCCTTGGCACAGGCAGGACAGGTGTGCCCTCTCTCTTTGGAGTGAACAGAAGACAGGTGCCTGTGCAGGTCTGTGCGGTCTCTGAAATGTTTCAGACAGTAAACACACTGCATTAACTTCTTCTTGAAGTGGATGGTCTTCTCGTGTCGGTCTGCATTGGATTTGAGGGTGAAGCTGGCGGGGCAATGGGAGCAGAGGTAACGTGCCGGCATTGGCTCGGCCACTGTAGGGCGGTAGAGAGACTGGTGGAAGCGGAGAGGCTGGGATTGTGGCTGGTGATGGGGCTGGGTAGGTTGGCGATGCGGACCCTGCATGCTCGGCCAGTCCAGGGAGAAGGCCATCAAAGACAGGGTGTGGCGGTACTCATGTTCCCTGAGATGCTCCAGGTTGCTGAACAGCCGTTTGCACAGGGAGCAGGGGAACCCCTGTGAGGGCCAGGCACCAGGCTCTGGCAGAAATATTTTCCCTGACCCAACCTCTTCGCCTAGTACCCTCAGCCCTTTAGTCCCTCTGCCAGCCACGGACACTGACGCAGGCACAGTCAAGCCACCAGCCCAGCTCTCTTCGCCCATCTGATCCCTCTCGACAGGAGACTGGTCACCTTCCAAGGCTGAGATAGCAAGAAGGAGAGTGAAAGTGAGAGAAATAGATAAGGTACTAAAGATGCTTTCTCTAAAGTTATCTACACCTGACAACTTTGAAAACCCTAACCATACCTGTGTTGTATTCCTTCATGTCGTCTTTGTCTTTTACACCCTCCTGTAAGCACAAAACATCCCGTTATGTCACACACACACACATTTATACGGTCTGTATGGAATGTTGTCTGGGCATGCAGGAGGCAGGCAGGTGAGACAAGCTGTGAAGTCAACCTTTTTTCACACGTGAGAAACAGAGGAATAAAGACATGAAAACAGAAAGGTTTTTAAAATAAGAAGAGAAATGACACATAAATTGTTAAAGATTAGCAAGCAAACACAGAAAACACATAGCTGACAGCTCCTGGATGCTAGAGCTGTCCTATGAGACAGAATAAGCAGTTACGCTGATCTACAGTACTCATTATATCATCCGCCTCATACTCATACACTCAACACCCCCTTTGGGTGTTAGCAAGGTGCACCAAACACCTGTCCCCTCTCTTTTCTCTCATCTACATCCCATCTAAATTCTATATTTTCTCCATCTACTGCATACTCCTGCCATTCCTTCACCCCCACCCATTTCCTCGGCCCTTACACTCCTCCTCCTCCTCCTCCTCCTCCTCCTCCTCCTCCTCCTCCTCTCTAAGAACAGAACACCATGCACTGGGCAAACAGATGGCTTGTCCGTAGAGATAGGGAGGCTTGTTGGGAGGCAGGTCCACTGAAATCAAATGCTGCTCCTAAATGCTCACCAGCATACACAAACGGACTGGCACAAAACTCACATCCACACATGCTCATACTGCCATGCTCACACACACGCCCACACACACACACACACACACACACACACACACACACACACACACACACACACACACACACACGGAATAGAACAAACAATTTCCTGGGCTGCGAGAGCAAACCTCTCATTGTCTACTTGTATTGATTCTACTCAGTCTCATCTCACTACCTTGCCCGTTATCTCCCATCTCTAAGCATGCGCTGCCATTGTGACTAGATGTGTCATCTCTAATGTAACCACTATAAACTACATTACTACTAATGCTGAGCAAAGACTCTTGGCTTGACGCTGAGTTTGGGTCTAGCTATATTAAAAATCTGAAAGGAAGAGAAAAGCAAACAAAGCATACAGAAAATAAAGACAAACAAAAGAAAACAGTGTTTCTTCTCAGAGTGTAGAAAGGAAATATACCAGATTCCACATAGAGAATGAGATACAGGCAGAGGGGTTGAGAGATGATGTACTCGTGTATAAAAAAAGACTTTTCAATGATGAAAAATAACCCCATTAACCTCCACTTCTCCTCATAAAAACCCATAGCCCCACCCTCCCACCATATCAGCGGTTACTTTCTATTCTCCATCACCTCAACCCCCCTTAGTGCATTTGCAGAAACAGGGTGAAGCTGCCCCCTGGACGCTTCTCTCCACTCACTCTCACAAACTTTTATCTGACTGGAGGAGCAGTACCCAGAGAACAGCCTCCGCCCTGGAGATGAGCCAGGCTCTGTGTGCTTACCTCAACCAGGGTGGAGGGCTCCGGGCCCTGAGGGGCCTCTTCCACTTCCATGTCCAACCCTTCTGAGCGCAGTGGGGGTGCCCCAGCCCGCAGACCGGGGGCCTCCAGGGGCCGAGGCTCAGAGGGGTGCAGTGGCGTGGGTGGAGTGGGTGGGCAGTATGCTGATGTTGATGATGGCGGTAGTGGTGGTGATGGTGGAAGATGAGGAGGAAGAAGAGGAAGAGGAGGAGGAGGAGGAGAGGAGCCAGCCCCCTGTTTGTTATGAATAGTGGCCCCTGTGGCCCCTGGCCGGAGCGTGCTGCAGTAGTTGTTGGAGCGGAGCCCTGAGGAGCACAGGAAACGAGTCTCACCCACCCACTCACGTACAACTGCAACTCTGCTAGCAGCTGGCCACCAGAACACAACGGGAGAGAGTGGGCAGGGGGGCACACAGAGGCTGCCAGTGCTACACTATCAAACACTATGGAGAGGGGGAGGAAGAAAAACTCTGAAGTTTCACTTTCCACCAGCCGAGGGGAAAGGGTTAGGGCTTCTCTTCTCTCTTTCTCTCTCTTTTTCTTTCGCTCCTCTGCTCTCCTTCTCCTTCCACCCACATGCGTGCGCAGAGGATGGCAGTGTGTGTGTGTTTTGTGAGAGAGTGTGCATGTGCTGTGTGAGCGAGTAAAATGCATATAAGGAGAGGGCTTGAGGATCCTCTGTAGCGTGGAGGGAGATTGTTTTGGAGAGGAGCCATCTTGCAGTTCAAGTGAAGACTTTTTGTGCACGCAGGGTAAAGGACGACTACATCGACCATGTAAGATGTTTACCAGCAACAAGTTAAGGCACGTCGGATAAAGAATTTAAAATTTCCTACAGAGCATTTCACTCTCCATAACTATTCACACAGAAGCTTTTTTTCTGCTACATTAATATCGCCATTAGCTGGTGCTGAGAGTGCATCTCTTTTTCTTACAGTGATATGAATCAAAGTATAATGTGCAGGTTATTCTCGTTAGTGTGTGTGCGTATACGAGTATGTGCGAGTGTGGGCAGTGTTTTGGGGAATGTCTCCAGAGTTATGCAGTGGGTTAGCCATTCATTGCCCTCCTCTGCACAACGGACAGAATCACACAACCATGAGGCTCGACCGTGGACGGATTCCTGGAATGTTAAGCTACCGCGCCCGACACTCCCCACTCCCACTTACTGAGAACACACACAAATGCTTAACTCCCCATCTCCTCTTCCCCACCCCCGGCAGTGACGGGAGGAACAACATTAAGAAGGAAATGGAGACAGAGAGTAAAGGGATGAGCTACAGGTGAGAGGGAGCAGCTCATTAACAAATGGTGTTCTGGCAGCGGACACTTCTTAGGAGAGCACTATCATGGAATAACTACGTCGACTGGGTTTAACAGTCTAGGTTCAAGCCTCTTGAAGAATTCCAACATACGACTATAATTTTTGCAATCTTGTCTCACTGAGTTTAATATTGCAGTCGTGTCTGGCAAGCTGTAAAGAATACAAATAACAGCAGGCTGACTCACTGCACAGCAGCAAGAGCAAAAGAAATGGAAATAAGAAAATACATGAAGGTAGAATAACTAAATTACTTAAACACAGAATGACTGTAGAGGAACTAAAATACAACCTGGTGTCCTCCTCTCCACCTATGATCACAATGGGGTGAAGAGCTTTTAGGTCTGTTTAGACTTTAGGGAAGCAATTACTGTAAGGTGACTGACCAGTTTGCCAATAGCTAATCAACTTAAACTTGGTAAGTCTGTTAGGAAGGAAATGGCCAGATAGGATTAGGGTTCTTCATGACTTCATGGCCCTGTTAGAAATAACCTCTGGACAGTTTTAAGAACTGTGATGGAAGGAGACAAGAGATGTTTGGAAAGGGCCAGCAATTCCAAAAAGTTTGTAATAAAGTAAAGGTGACCTTTAATGGAAAGTTCCAAAAGAACATTGAAAGTTATTACCATCTCTTGTGTTGATAACTTTGAATTGAGAAAAAAAAAAGGAGGCAGAGGGTATGCCATTGCCATATAGGACCCGCATTTTTTATCTGAGAAGGCTCTTGCACCAGATGGACAAAATACAAAACAATCATAAATAAAAATCATAAAACCTCTGGAGAGTAGCTATGGAGCCACCGGGAGCTACAGTACAGGGTGAGTCAATTTTCAAAAGTAGATGTGAAGTGATGAGAGCAGGCAGTGGAGAGAAAAGTTCAATAATGTCAGTATGATCCCCATAGTTAATTGGATGTTCTTTACAGCCGGAACGCGATGGCAGTGTGGACAGGTGCGCGGGGATGGTCCGGCAAAATCCACAGTCTGGCATTGATTGTCTGACGCACAAAGGGGTAGCGGGGCCAAATCCCAATGATCTTAATTGGATTCAGGAGGCTGATTGACATACAGACGGGTTCCACTGTATTTTGGTATTCCATATGCTAGGACGATGTAGTCCATGACCCAATGCAAAGGATAGCAAAGGGAGGAGCTGTGCGTTTGAATCGCAAGCCCTGGCAACAAGGTGCAGTTGGATCAGTTTGAATAGCTAAATGTAAAGAGGAAAGAGGTATTCAGTGGTTAAACTGTAGAACATTGATTCTCAGTTTGGCCCGATTTTGAATGTATGAATCTTTAGGAGAAACATGTTTTATTAAACAGTCAATTATACAGAAAAGAGAGAAGGAGAGAAATAGGGAGAGGGAGGGAGGGGAGCTCTAAGTCAAGGCCTTTTGCTGATACTCAGTGGTCTCTCTTGAATTGGGCCAGGTGACCTTGCTTTACCTCCTCTCTGCCTAGATCAATACTTTCCCAGGATTTTAAACCAACATACTTTGATGCTCCACAGCCGAAGTAAAAGAGGGGGAAAGAGACAGGAGGGAGACAAATAAGGAGAAACTGCGGGAGCCGGCCAGAAGGGGAGGGAGCGATGGAGAGTGTGAGGGATGAGTGTTAAGGAGGGGTGAAGGAGAAATAGATGGAGAGAAGGAGGGAGGGATGGGTGGCGTGAGGGGGAGTACAGGAGGGAAAAAAGGACAGGAAGGATGTTAAGCAGGGGTGAAGGAGAAGCAGGGAGGAGAACAGGAGGAGGGGGAAATGGGGCTGAGTGGAGGGAAGGAGGAAGGGAGCAGCGATCTGTCAAACCACGCCGACTTATCCTCCGCCCAGCAATCTGAGGTACAGTGTTTGTTTATTTTCGGTCCTCATTTAGACACAGGGACACACCAGGGGAGGGAGGGGAGGTAGTTGGCCATCTTGACAAGCCCATTTCCCCAAACCCTATTGTGTAGGGAATTCAAAATAGGGTTTGGCTAACCAAAAACCTCCTTGAGGTTTCTTGGGTGACAACTAAAACACAGCTATAAGACTCATTCAACATGTGTTTCTTTCTATGCAGCGAGCAAATGATTAACATTCTCTGAATTCTCCAAATTTCCTATTCATATAGTCAAGGCTGGGTGTATTTGTTAAGCGTGAGTGTGTATCAAAAAGCCGCTTCTTCTCTTTTCTGGAGCTTGTGAGGCTGTCTATCTGTGCTGTGACAGCATCTGATTCTCCTCTTTAAGCCAACAGAAACATCTCAATCCCACACACTTAACACTTGCACAAAAGGGGTGATGTGATGTGACGTGCGTTTGCGAGCACGAATGTGGTACTGCAAACTTGTGTGTTGGTCTATTCAGTCTTGGCCCTGTCTTTTATTTTGTAGGTGAGTGGGGCTCAACTCAAAAGGCACGACTAGGCTTGGAGTTGTACCCTTCCTTTGCTTTTCTTCCGCTCACAAAGACAGGCAGAACTAGGGACAAAAGATCCAATTACTAGCCAGTAAAAGCAAAGAAACACAAACACACGAGTTGCGCACACACACACAAATGTGCCCACGCGGACATGGACTCAAGCAAATATACACTCACACCGGCACACACAGGGAGATACACACATGTAGACACACTGACAGTTTAACACCCTCACTGAAGGCAAAAAAACTGACTGAATGAAGAAAAAAATCTCTCTTGCTAACGTGGGCAAACTAAGCACAAATAAGGACATATAATATTGATATGATTAGAATTTTTTTTTATTGTAAGGTAAGTAAAAGATTTGGCAGATTTAAGTTCTTTTACTCCTTATGCGGTGAGATACTCAGACAAAGAGAAGAGGAAGGATGTTGGAAGCTTAACGCACATAAGCTTAAAACTTTTAAGGTTAAGGTTGAGGTTGCACACTCATGCACAATGGCAAAAAATTAACACTTACTTAACATATTTCCAGTCTGTTTATTCTATTTTATCTCATTTGACATCACATTTCTCTATCAAAATGTAATGTTTCACAGTTTTTTTAGGGATACAATTTTAAAAATACTACTTATTTTGAAGGTGCTTTTAACAGGATGTAGAGGTTTGTGCCGTCATCGAGCAGAGCAAATCGCTTCACCATTATTGATGCTGGAATACACTAAGTAAATAATATCTGAACATTTGCTGCAGTTCTGTTGTGTTATTTTGCTGCTGTGAAAATACAGCAGTAGACCCACTGATACGCACAAAGGAACTGTCACATAAAACCAAACAAATTTTCTCACGACAGCGAGAGCGATCCCAGCAAAATGTTCTCTCACTGAGTCACCGCTGACTAGTCATCACTGGCATTGCCACACAAACCCTTTACACACTGAAGTGGCACCACATACACACACACACACACACACACACACACACACACACACACACACACACACACACACACACACACACACACACGCATGCATTCAGAGTCATCCAAATACAGTGGCTGATGAGGGAAAATACTCTGCAGAGGAAGAGGATACTCATGTCAAAAGCGGTCAAGCCTGTATGTTTTATGTCTCACAGGTGACCACACGAGCAGGTACTCAAAAATACACTAGCAGAGGCGAAGCAGTTTGTGTATACCCAAGTTGTAAGTTATAATGAAGAGTGTGGCTTGCTGGGTGTGTGGGTGTGTGTGTGTGTGTAACAGTCAGTGTGAGTGCAGTGTTAGTAAATAGTGACTTACAAGACAGGGAGTGTCCTCCTTTGGGCAGGTACTCGTACAGCAAGGGGTTATCATCTCCCATCATCTCAGCCCGCAGTGAAAGCAGGCTGTTCTTACTCATCAGCGCCGCCTTCAGATTGGCTACAGATGAGATTGTTCCACCCCCGGCTCCACCCCCCGCCTCCTCCGATTCGTTGGGGCCCAGATAGCTGGGCTCTGTGGTAAGAGCCTCTTCCTGTTTGAGGAAGAAGTCGAGGCGTTCGCCACGGCTGTCTGAGCTGTTGGGTTCGGTCACGTCTGCCCCTGAATAGAGATGAAATAACAGAAGATGGGTTAGACTCCATCATTGACTGACATAATGGTTTTTAAAACAACATAAAACTAAAGCAGAGAAATTTAAGTAGGTGGTAAAGGACAATGACTCATTTCACACAGCAATGTTTTAACGTCATTTGAGGGATTAAATGCTTCTCTATAGGATGAAAATCCTGCCTCTCTTGGTTTTGTGAATGCCTGTCAGAGGGGATGAAAAGGGATGGTGGTCAAACCTAACATTGTACTTGAATAGTTATCATTTTGTCATTTAAAGATTTCACCTGACAGTGATAGCAGCTTGAGCGAAGATACAAAAAAAACCCAAAACACCATATTAAACCAATTCTTTCAAACCTCTCAGCCGAGTCATCGTTTACACCCAGTGTTTTCGGTAGCAACTACGAACACGTCACCGCTCTGAATCATCCCTCTCTCTCCTCAACTCCCTAACATACCTCATCATCACCAGTCAACAAAAATACAGGGAGATCATAAGGAGACAGCGAGAGAGAGAAAGGCAGACACAGACGTGGTGAGTATGTGTGTGTGTGCGTTATGTCTGCATGGGTGTGTTTAGCCGTCAGTGTCGTTGAAAGCAGAGTGTGTAGAGAAGCTGTCAGCAGTAGACATGTCGCTGGAGGTTCCACTGTAGATCTACAAGACTGTCAGACCACACTGCTGACGACAGCTCCGTTCAACACAGAGACACACTTACAAACACGCAAATACGGACACAAAAACACACTTTCATTGCCTCCTAATTGACATTTAACTGATGACAGGTTGCTTTTTCCAACAAAGACTTAGACAAAAATACACACCACGCACATCACAGGCTTAAAGACTTTGAAAGAACGCCTTGTCTACACCTAAACCAAACACACACAGACTTCTGTGTGCTAATGCAGACTTGTGAGTTACCCCAAGGGGGGGAGTGTGTGCATAATTATGTGTGATTGTTCTGGACAGAAACCTTCTGACATCCTAATATATAAGTATACCATTCCACAAAGCCCATGCAGTGACAGCTGAAATCACACTTAAAGCTAATGGGGAACAAACAAAGTGAAGACAAGAAACAGGGGTGATGCGGGGGCACGGAGAACATAAACGAGTGGAAAAAGCAAGGGAGAAGGAAAAGAGTGGAAAAATACAAATGGAGCAAGAGAACAAAATAGCCCCGTTGTCCATTTTAACTACAGTCAGGTAGTGCTAAGTGTTTCCTGTGCAGCCCAGCGCTCATCTGCTGCAGGGGGAGTCAAGGTGACAGAGACAGTAGTTTGCCTCCACGTCTGGAATACCGATGGGTATACAGCCTCTTCACAGCCTACTGGGTCAATGTTGACCACTCTGTCACACACACACACACACACACACACACACACACACACACACACACACACACACACACACACACACTGTCAGTCATTTTTCATGCTCAGTATAGATAAATTATCACAGATCCGATGGACGGATACATGCTCTGTATGCATGGTTGCACAAGCATAGATCTGAAAGGTGTAGAGATATGAGTGAGATATTAAGGACGGGAGGGGGGAGATGGGACGCAAGAGATAAGAGTGACATACATACGAAGTAATCAGCGGCCATGATACTACTAGCAGACACAGAGGAAGATATAAAAAGAGGAGATAAAGTAGGAGGAACGAAGAAAAGAAGACAGGAGGCAAAGACAGAAAGAGAAAGAAAGAAAGAAAGAAAAAAAAGGCAGGGGAGTGTAGAAGCGGGGGTGTTGAGCTGTGGAGGAAGATACACACAAAACACACACGCATACATCCACGCACACCCCCGCCCCAGCACACACACACACACACACACACACACACACAAACACACACAAAGTTAATTAAGGAGGGGGTGTAGGGGTTGGCGCAAGGGGCATGAGGTGCAGGAATTCATTAGAGCTCTGCCCCCTCCTTCAGTGGGCAGCCCAGCAGCCACAGGAGTCAATCAATAACATAGATCTGCTGTGGGCCAACAACAAACACACACACACAAACACACACATGTACACGTATGTGGAGAAAGGAGAGGCAGACAAATGGAAGGAGAGGAAGCGAAGGGGAGAGAGAGAAAAGAGGGTCACCTCTGACCCCCATCTCCCTCCACTCATCTGTTCATTGGACGAGTGAATGACCCCTGACCACTTTTCCCAGCATCCCCTGGACACGTGCATCTACAGATGGAACATGTCCGCCCTCCTCACAGTCATACAGTAACAATGCTTCAGTCACACACACTGCAGATTCAATGGCAGAGTTATGGAAAAGCAATTGCTTTGTGAGTTCCTCGCACACAACAGTCAAAATTCATTTCTGAAATTAATATCTGTGTTATAAACATTAGAGAAGGAGTCACAATGTCTAGCTGACACGCCATACAACATATAGGCTACAGTATCCTGCTTTCTGAGGATTTATCCACATTTCCGAGTCTAAGCGTGAGATATTAGAAATTAGTATTCAGCTGACCACAAACAGGCTTCTGCGCCAAATAATCGGAATATACTACATAATCCTCCTTCACTTATGTAAGCTTTATCGGGCCCTGCATAGCTGGTGTGTTACTTAAACCTCATCCTGTTCCGACAGATAAAATCATTTACCACACCAGAAACAGTCGCACCTAATCCCATGCACGCAGCTTATGGATTTCATCATACGTGTGCCGGGTTTTGCTGAGGATTTGTAGACACACATATTGTGGTGTCTTTCAGAGGCAATAGGTTTATCCAGAGTTTTAGAGACACCGGGGTTACATCATTCCTTTGTGTGCATATGCTGAGTGTTAACGTACTTGTTGTCATGAGACAACCTATGAATTTCAATGGCATTGGATATGGCTTTGAACTGCGTGGTCAGATACAAAAACAATAGCATTTTTTCCCCCTCCTTTCTTCTCGCCTTTACAGTGCAGTGGTCTCTGTACAGTGAAGGGAATTTTCATTTTCCCCTTCATAAAAGAGTCCGAATAATTTAGATTTCTGCTTTCTGAAGAGATCCTCCGTTTAATTTGGTTGCCATGGTAGCCGAGCACCCTTGGCTTCAACATTTATGCTAAATAAAACCCCCTTTTAAAAGGAGAGACAAATATGTGGAAATGGTGGTTCTCTTTGTTCATGTGTGTGTTTGCGTTTATGTGTGTGTGCGCACGCGTGAGTGATGCTGCAAGCTATGTGGGGGCTTGAGTGGGAAAAAAGCAAAGGCGGAATAAGACTTGCCTTGGAATAAAAGATGTGTGTGTTGAACTATACTTCAAATGCGTTGTGAGGGATACTGCATTTATCATCCATTGAGAGAGTTACAGCTAATGGATAGAAGATACAGTTTTATGTGCTGTGGTTGGAGGCTGCACTGTATATCTGAGTGAAGTGTGTGTGTGTTTCACAAGGGGAGTTGTGTTATTAGAGAGCACACTTTGACGCAGTAAAGAGGAGGAGAGGGAAGGCCTGAAAAGGGAGGGAAGGGTCAGCTGACCCGGTTTGACCTCTGATCTTCTGTTCTGATTATGCTCAAGGAGTGTGTCTGTGTTTGTGTGTGTGTGTGTGTGTGTGTGTGTGTGTGTGTGTGTGTGTGTGTGTGTGTGTGTGTGTGTGTGTGTGTGTGTGTGTGTGAACAAATGCCTCCTTCCCCTCTAAATGAAGCCAAACACTGTTGTGTGAGGGAGTTCATATTTTCCAAGAATACAGGTTTTTGATAAATAAATGGATGAATAAACATAAATTGATACACCCACTATTTGCGTATGCACATATGACCTGGCTGTTGATAGACACACTCCTTTAACACCTCTGGTCACACACACACACACACACACACATACACACACACACACACACACATACACACACCACGCCTTCAAATCAACAGAGACAGTAGCCAAACACAATGGAGAAAAAAAGTCCAGGGTGGTTAAGCAACGAGTTACTGAGGCTTGTCGACCACAAGAGAGCTGTCAGAGAAGAAAGTAGGGCTTGTGTGCATGTTTGAGTATGGGAGTGCAAACAAAAGAGAAAGACTCTCTCACTGTGTATCTTTGTGTGTGTGTCTGTGTCTGTGTGTGTATGTGTGTGTGTGTGTGTGTGACAGAGAAAGACACAGAAAGAAGCCTTGCCCCAAGTCGGCCTGGTTAATGGCTCGGCCAGCCTGAGGTTGAAAAGGACAAGGCATTACAAGAGCCATGTTGTCACAAGACTGTTGTCTACGCGACATTACAGCGACATGCTTCCAAACGAGAAAATGCAAGTCCCTCCTTCACCTTTTTTTCACAAACAGCTCCACATGTGATTAGTGTGTGTTTGTCCTCGAGTGGACAAAGAGGGGAGGGAAGGTGGAACTTGCTTCCTCAGCATGCCAGAGTTTGAGAGGGTAAAAAAGTAATTTCAGCCGAGAAGGGGGAGTGAGGCACTAAAACAGCTCAAGAATTCAGAGGCAATTTAAAAAGCAGTGTGGGAGAGGGGAATGAAAAAAATGCTGGGTTAAAAAGGAGGGAGGATGGAAAGTAAAAGAGGTTGTTATTCTCTCTGTCTCTCTCTTTCTCTCGGTCTTCCTCTCTCTCACTTGCTCTCTCTCTGTTGTTTTTAGGGACTAGCCGGGCCACAACCTCCAGGAGAGATAGGGAAGGGTGGGTGGTGGTGGTGGTGGTGGTGGTGGTGGTGGGGTGTGTGTGGATAGGGAGGGCAAGCATAAATCAAGCAGAGCCTGAAGGCTTTAGAGGAGGGAGGGACAGAGGGAAGAGAGTGGTAAAAGACAGGGAAGAGAGAGAGAGAGAGAGAGAGAGAGAGAGAGAGATGTTGGTGCTGGTGGTGATGGTGGTACTGCTGGGGGCTCAGAGAAAAAGAGAGTGTGGGTGGAGGGGAGGAGAGGAGAGAAGAGGAGCACAGCGATTGCAAGAGTGGTGGGGTGAGAGGTGGACGGTGGGGTGATGGAGTGTGGGTGGGTGGGTGAGTGAGGAGAGGTGAGGGGGAG